CGGGGGAGCCGCCAGGACGCCTGCAGCGGACTGCTCGCATTGCCGCCGGTGCGCCCCAGTGCCCGTTCGCTTCGCGCCGGGAACTTCGTGGGGGTTTGCTGGAATTCTGGATTATGTTCATGCGGAGCCGGTCTGCGGGGAGCTGAGCCAGGGGAGGAAGAATGCGGGTCTATTTAATGGTCTTCTGCTTAATTTGCTGCACCGCGAATGGGCAAGTAGTGTATTCCATCGCCGAGGAAACAGAGCGTGGAGTGTCCTTTGGGAACATTGCGAAGGATTTAGGAATAGATGCAGCTACACTTTCAGCTCGGAAATTGCGCATGATCACCGGTGCAAGTAAGCAGTATTTTAATATAAATGCAAGTACGGGGGCTTTGTCTGTTAATGAGCCCATAGACAGAGAGGAGCTTTGTGAATTAAAGTCTACCTGTCTTCTGAATTATGAACTCGTGTTAGAAAACCCTCTAGAGCTTTATAGGATAGAATTTAAAGTCTTGGACATAAATGACAACTCCCCCAGCTTTCCCTTAAGTGAATATCATATAAATGTGCCTGAATTCCTGTCACCCGGAGCACGCTTTACACTCACCAATGCCCAAGATCTTGATGAAGGTACCAACAGTGTCCAGAATTATACTCTGAGCCCTGAGGAACATTTCCATTTGGAAATGCAGACACGAGGAGATGGGAGTAAATATCCTGAATTGGTGCTGAAGAAAGCCTTAGACAGGGAGCAGCAAGCTACTCACAGACTTGTCCTTACAGCCAAAGATGGTGGGGATCCTCCAAAGTCTGGTGATATCCCAGTCATTGTGACTGTGCTGGATACCAATGATAACGCACCAGAATTTGAGCACTCGGTCTACAGGGCAAGTATCTTGGAAAACTCCCCCAGTGGCACTTTAGTAGTGCAAGTGCATGCCACGGACTTGGATGAAGGTCCAAATGGAGAGATCAGGTACTCATTTAGCAATACTACTTCTGCTGATCTACAGCGAATGTTCTTAATTCACCCGCACAAAGGGGAGGTGACAGTCAATGGCGTTTTAGCTGTTCAGAGACCTCTCCTCGAGATGCTCATTGAGGCAAGGGATAATGGGGCATTTGGCATGTCCAGCACAGCTAAGCTGCTGGTGGAAATCACTGATGTGAACAATCATGGCCCAGAGATAACAATTACATCCCTTTCCAGTCCCGTTCCTGAGGATGCTGTTCCTGGCACAGCGATAGCTCTGCTGAGTATTATGGACAAGGACCCTGGGGAGAATGGGAAAGTAACTTGTCAGATCCCTGATAATCTTCCCTTCCAGTTAAAGCCTTCCCTCAAAAACTACTACAGTCTGGTCACCAGTGGGCTTCTGGACCGAGAGCTGATCAGTGGGTACAACATCACCATTACTGCCACAGACTTGGGGTCTCCACCCATCACCACTCAGAAGACCCTTTGGGTGCAGATTTCTGATGTGAACGATAACCCCCCTGTCTTCAGTGCTGAGACATTTGATGTGTTTGTGGAGGAGAACAATCCACTTGGTGCTTTTCTCTACCAGGTCTCTGCATCTGACCCTGATGTGGGGGAGAATGGACGGGTCTCTTACATGCTCAGGAATTCCACAGTTGCAGGCAGTGCTCTAGCCAGCTTTTTATCTGTGAGCTTGGCCAATGGGAGTATCTATGCAACATGTGCCTTTGACTTTGAGCAGCTTCAGAGCTTCTATTTCCAAGTGGAAGCCAAGGACAATGGGTCACCAGCCTTGAGTGCTGCCATAACTGTGAATGTTTACATCTCAGACCAGAATGACAATGCCCCAGCCATCCTGTACCCCACCAGCCAGAATGGCTCAATAGCTGTGGAAGTTGTGCCCCGCCTGGCTGATGAGGACTACCTGGTGACCAAAGTGGTGGCAGATGATGAGGACAATGCACAGAATGCCTGGCTCTCTTATCACCTCGCCCATTCGTCTGACTCCACCCTGTTCCGCTTGGCACCACACTCTGGTGAGCTGCGCACCACGCGTTCCATGCGGTCCACTGACTTCCTCAAGCACAAGGTTGTTGTGGTGGTGCGGGACCATGGGGATCCACCACTCTCCTCCACTGTAACAGTGGGCATCCTGCTGGCTGACACCCTGCCCCAGGCACTGCCGGATTTTGATGACAGTGGGGAACCACCACCACTGCTCAATGCTACAAATATCTATTTGATCGTTTGCAGCTCTGCCACTGCAGCACTTGCTGCTGCAGCAGCTGCTGCTCCTCAGCTGATGAGTATGAAAAGTATTGCTATAGTGTACACATGCTTCCCAGCTCCCATCTCCCACCGGACAGGTTGGAAGTCACTGGTGTGGGTAAACTGACCCATACCTACTTGTACAGGGCATCTGTAGGTCTTGGGCCTAGTAACTGCACCATCCCAAATGGTGATGCTGGGAACATTCCCAGCGGCTCAAGGGTACAAGTGCCAGGACCTTGCATCCAAGCGCAACAGGTCCAAAGTGATCAGCTGAGTGCTGTCCTCATGGTAAGTACCGCCTTTCACTTTTTTTCTCTCATGCACATGGCCGTGTGTTTACGTTGGGTTGCTGTCAGTGCGGAAGAAGGTACTGAGGGTATTTGCAAGAAGAGCAGGCATTGTTTCATGGCACCTGGAGGAAACTTCAGTCCCTTTTTATCTTTCCTAAAGCCAAGATCTCTTTGGGTGAAACATGGTCATGGGATGACAAAAGAGATTCCCTCTCTCCCCCCCAAACATTTAGGACCTTCAGACATAACTAAAGGTGAAGAAGATGTAAGTGGAAACTAAGTACTTTGCAAGCTGAGCCATTGTCTTCAGATAGCTAAGCAGGGGCATGATAAGAGTCCGTGCAAATTTCTAATCCACAGGTGGTTCTAATCTACACTGTATACAGCCTGTGATTACTTCTGTTTTTAAAATTATTTATCCCTCTCCAATTCCTGAGACGTTTAATTGAGGGGTGAGTAGTCTGCTGAGCCAAGATGTTGGTTTACAATGCCTATGAGTACCAGGAGTTTAATATCCAACATCTCTTTAGGAAATGTAATTTGCAGTGCTCATCTCTCTTTCAAAGAAATCCATAGGTTTTGTGAATCTAAAACAGTTATCTTCTGAGACTCTGACCAAGCTGATTGTTTCTCAGTAGTCTGAGGGGTGGCTTTGCAGGAGTAAACATCTTTCTGTGATCACAGTTTAGGGCTACAAGATGGGAGACGTCTGCAGGTCTGATCTCCTGGGTGTTGCTGCGTCACGTGTCCAAGATTCAGTTTCCTTTTACACAAAATAACACTTGTTCTATTTTTGATAGGTCGTTGTGAGCCACCTTTATATTTCTGTGAAGTTTTGAGATGTTTTGCCTGCAGGCTGACAGATTTACTTAGTGTGCGCAATAGTAACTAACCAGTGTTTGCTCTATCCAGGCCAATATTCTGTGGCAGGACGTGTTCCAGCTGTTTCTAAGGCAAACGTAAGAACCCATGTTAAACAGACATGGTATAATCTCCTTCTAGTAGTTGTTTTTATTTTAATTTACAACTATTAGAGGTTGTCCAAAGTCTGTAACTATGATGCTTATTTTCATTTTTTAAACAATTATTGTACCTTAAAATGCATGTAAATGACCAGCCCCTTTTTGAACCTTGATATTAAGTTCAAACAGGAACTTCCGGCAGCTTCTTTGGATAATCAAATAGATGTTCAGCTATATAGCATCTGAAAAAGCACTTCCTTTTATAACTCTGGAATTTCCAAACAGTGACTTTTAGTAAGTTTTCCTTTGTTTTAGAAAAGATTCACAATTTTCTTTTAATTATGCAATTAATTTTTCACGCCTTCTCTTATTTATCTGTTGCCAAAGTGAAGTAGGTTTGTGGGTTGGTTTGGGTTTTGTTATTTTTCTTTCTCACTGTTTTCTGAACACTGTTTCCACATAAATCCTACTGACAGGGAATGAGATTTTCTCAAAAATTTGTTGTTTAATTTACTATTATGGTCTACCTAGTGTCTGATCAGTCATAATCAGTTTCAGGTTCTGTTCTCTGTGGTAGCAGAGGGTTGCACATGTCACGGGTCTCTCACCGTGCAAAGGTACAGTGGAATAAATCTTGCAAAAGCAGAAATGTCAATGTCTTTCAGTAAGAAATTGTAGAGTCCAGGAAAACAGCAGTTGGCAGTATGTAAAGAAGAATTTGTACCTAATGCATTGGTGTACTTTGGGAATATCATAGATTGTTCTGAGGATCTGAAAAAAAGGCTGATTTAGAACCCTTGTAACGGGGTTAAGAGATTGTCAAAAGGTTTTTAACTCAGAAGGTGTCTGCAGGAACCCTGCTAGTGTCTTGGGGGTGTATCCTTGGCTGGACAGTAGTTCATAATTGCAAAACTTCTGTAACAAACATGATATTAAAAAAAAAAATAAAAAAAAAATCCATCAAACCCTGGCACAACTAATTCCTGTGTTCCCGAAACTCTGGTTGCCAACACATTAATAAACTGAATAATAAAGAGAAACATAAAAGTGTCTCTGATCTCTGTAATGAGAACAACCAAAATGTGTCTCATTACATGTCAATATTTCAGCCATTCAGGTGAATTTTTTAAATTCTAAAAGCTCCTAAAGAGTTGTTTCATGTTTATAGTGGCCCAAATAAATCCCAGGTGTCACCTTTGGCAATTTTATTTTCTTAGCTCCTAATGTACAGAGATGGGTAACCATAGATGTGACCTACATGGAAAGTCCAAAGGCTATGCACTAACTGAACTGAGCAGAAGAGTAGGGGAGCAGAGGCAGAGACTCTGAAAACTTGCCTACCCTTAGAAATGAAAGGATGTCAGTCATTATTAATTTGGTGCTGAAGTGGCTAGTATACTGGAGAAAATACTACATATATATATATACACACACGTATATATACATTTTACATATTTCTTGTAAAATTTGCAAGTTATTAAAAAGACATTCATATTCAAATAATCAGGAGAGGGCAGAAGCTGCAGTTCCTGTGCCTTCATTTCTGTACATGCTTTAGATTCACCAATATTTAAAATGAAGTATAAATATGCTAAAGACATGCTCGGAAAATAATTTCCAGTCATCTGAGGTGGGAAAGAGAACTTCATTAATTCTTGAAAACTAGTCCTTAGTCCAAATCCCTGTGCACTTAAATATGATTTCAATGCAGAAAGATCACAGTCACTTTGTTAGTGAGGAATGTTTTTACTGATTTTATGTTAAAATGAGACGATTATAATTTTTTAGTGTTTACCAGTAGAATCTTCAGTAAAAAAACCCTGAAGTTCAGGTGTTGATTACATTTTGTCTTTAAGTGCTTCCAGGCTGACTCATTTGGAGTTAGAAATATAAATGTATGTGACCCTTTGAACTTCTGAGGAGGGATCATTGTATTGCTCCCTAAGAATTTAGATGTAATGAAAAGAAAGTATCAAATATTTGAAAGGCACTGAGAACAACTCCATACTTATAATTCCAGGCACTGGAAATGACTGCAAAACGGCAATTTTAGCAGAACTTAGATATCCCTGTTGTTTTTTTTTTTTTGGTTTATTGTTTTCTTTTTTTTAAATTGAGGGGAGGTAATTACAGTTTTTAGTACATGGAAGAAAGAAAAAAAAAGTCTACAGAAGTTAATTAAAATTCCTTAAATTAAATGTATTTTCAAAGTTAGGTTAGCTTCTTTGTTCTTGGTTGTCTTTTGCTACTGAATTAAACGATAGGCTTGAATGATCTTTACGTATGCAGACACATGAGATGCTTTTGTGCTTTTACATCTGTTTAGGTTAGAGCTAAGAACAGAACTACGTATGGCCATAATAGCAGTATCATAAACTGTAATTGTATCTCTTTCACGATTTTGCTGTGTCTTTCTGCAATGTAGCAGAAGTGACAGCCAAGTGAAAAGCATGTTATACTGCTAGGCTACTGTGCTGTATTAGACACAAAGGCACTAGTGGTATGGCTGAAGTAAGTAGTAGTTCACTGAGTATTTCTGGGGTTGTGATGTGGGCATGGATTGGTACGGTTCTTTTGTTTACTTGTGTTGTCCATTGTGCTACGCAAAAGGCCTGTGAGATATTTCTACATTCAGAGTCTAGTGACCTCTCTGTGATTTGACATTTAATATTTAGTTTACTTCCAAAAATAGACACAAACCTAGCAATGGAGAATATTTCTTACTAAACTGGAATAATTTTGTGCAACGTGGCATGCATTTCCAGTGACAAAAATGGATGCACTTACATTGAGATGGTGGCATGCAGTCTAGACTGAACTGCTGCAGGCTAAGCATCAGTGGCTTGCTCACTCAGGTAAAGACCAGCAATATGAATAAGCCCTCCCTGCATCTCGTACTGATGGAAGCATGCCCCAAAACATAGCCAAATATGAGGGTGAAGCACCTTCCAATTTTTTTTTCTGTCTGAGGTGACAGCAACCTGCTAGAACCAGCAGTCTTATGCCCACAATGTAAGAATTCAGTTGTGCAGGCAGATTTCTTGGCTGCAGAAGTTACTCTTGGGGTCAGGCCAAGAAAATCCTAGAAAGAGCAATGATCAAAGAAAATTCAGCGAGGGAAACTGCTATAGATTTTCCTCTTTGTGACCACTCCAACTACATTTTGCAAAGAAGTGTGCAGCTCCAATGGTCAGCAAAAGAACAATGTGTCCAGGAAAAGCTATAAATGCCTGGGATGAAACTTTGCTTGTCTGATGTTTGCCTTGGAGTATTATTTTTAGAGGTGGTTGAAGGGAGAGTAACAGAAGGAGTAGCTTGAGACAAAGGGCTTGAAGGGATGTAGACAGTAATGTGTCTGTATTTGGAGATGCATAAGACAAAGGCAATGATGAGCGGGGAAGGATGAGATTGGATGGTGACCTGGGCTTAGGGAGGGCAGAAGTGAGTAGTAATTCTTGTAGAAAAGCACAGAACAAGAAAAACAATTTGGATCAATTCTAGTCCTTTCTTATATCAGCCACGATTTAATGTTAAATCTTCAAATTAAAATATTTAAATTTTAGTATTAAAAATACAAATTTTAATTGAAAAATTCATTAAGTTATGTCCATTATTCCCATAGGGAAGTTATTCCTCTAAGTCTTTGAAACCCTTTTTTGACACCTTGTCAACATTTATTTGCTGTGAATCTGTAGACATTTGTTCTTGTGCCGGTAATGTCCTGTTAGTAGAAGTAATTCTTTTCCCTCTTTGGGGCTTCCTTTCTTCAAAAGCAGCCACGTGTTTTCTTAGGCTTTGTTTGACTAAGCTAAACAAGTCAGTCTCTTCTAGTCTTTTTTCTACAGCCACCTCTGCACTTGTCTGATCATGCT